TTTTTTTGAGATTTAAATAATCCATTTGTGTTTTAATTTAAGACAACAGCGAATTATTACAGTAAGTGTAGTTCATTATAGTAAATTGTCTGCTTTACGACCATTGATTTTAGAATGACTTAATATTACCATGTTGAATTACTAAAAATAAAACATTTGCCCCAAGACCGTTAAAAAGTTTATGTATACCTCATTGCTCCACGATTCAATTACAGTAAGTAAATTAATGTTTCATATCTACACATTAAACATTAGAATACAGTATTGTCAGCAATAATGAAACCTACAGTCCCACATAAACACCATTAAAATAATGAAGCTAGCAGGCCACTGTTATTGCAGCACTATGTTGCGTGATACTTGCTGTTACATGTCACTACTCATGTTTGTGTTGTCATGCTGACATGAGTCTCATGGTGTACTCCGGGTTTAGCAATTAAAGTTCACAATTTATGAATCTAATTGTCTTTCGAACATGTCAATTTCAAAATTATTACTGCATATACAGTATTCTACTCGAACCTAGAAATTTATAAGAACAATGTAATTCTCATTTAGATAGATAGGCCTACATTTCATATTTTTAAAGTTTTGTGACAGTATTTTTTTATATAATTTCAGAATACCCAGATATCCAGTCAGCAGCTGTAAAAACCAAGATGACTAAAGTAGGTGAAGATACAAGGCGCTCCATGTCAAAGGGAATGGATACAGCAGCTAATGTTTAAAAACAGGCGCTTAATGTGCAGTAATTTTTTAAATTTTAAATTGTAATTATCTTTGCTAAAGGTAACAAAGTGTTGTAATTAAATTTTAAAAAAAAGTTTATTTCATATCCTACAGATGAGCTGCAGCATGCTTTACCATCTAAGTAACTGTTCGCCTATATGCAATAAGAAGAATTTAAACAATTGTAAACTCATTGCTACATTAACTTAACAACTATTAAAATCCTTGACTAATTTTAAGCAAAGCAATACCTTTAGTGTGAAGCAGTTACTGTATACATTTGACTAATGTATGTTTTTAACTTAAAAATGTTATAACACATACATAATTCGTCTGACTATTATGCAAATGAAAGTGCTTATACATGTATTTAAAAGTTAGTTTAATAAATGTTTATTTTATCAATTTTAAAACTGTTTATTTTATTTTTGTTGTACCTTGCAGGATGAAGGGGAGAACTTTGAGATTGTGCATGTGATGGTTTTACTGCGTGGTGACACTGAATCTCTGTAGAACAAACAGTTTAGTGTAAACTTCACCAATAACACATAGTCAATAATATTATGTGTTAACACTCTGTTTACTGTATGTTAGCTAGATATGACAACAATGTGTTTACTGTGAAAACCTCACCAATTTCACATAGTCAACAGAGTAAACACACTGTATTTTTTGTGGGGTGACACTATGTTTACTCTATAGGGACACTGTGTTTAGTGACAATATGGAGATAGTTTGTGTATTGTGTGGTACACTATGGGAACAGTGTGTTAACAGTGTGTTAACACTGTGTTTACTGAATGTTAGCAAGTTGTTATTGTGGTGACACTATGGAAACACTATGTTTCCATATTGTGTTTATTGTGTGGTATTTTCCAAAGGGTATATGCTTTGTCTATGATGAAGATACGATCTGTTGTGTTGTTTTTGAAAATTATCAGCTGTC